GTTTAATTAAAGATGGCATATATAGACAAATACAGGATCGCTAAACATCTCCCCTGTAGTCGGACCATAAGGGTTTAAAGGAGATAAACTGATGGCCTTCTCTGTAAATCATTCAGAAGCTTTTTATTCTACTTTTATGGCTAAGAAATTATTCAGGTCTAGAAAATTTTACTATGGCGTAATACTATGTGATATCAATGCTTATGCACGCTTAAGAAAAATGAAATGGCGACACTGAATAGTTCTTCATTGGATTGTAACAGTGTTAGTAATTTTAGTCACCTGATTAGATGACCTTTAGACATACGTTATGTTTTAAAAATGTATATTTATGAGGAAGACTGCGATTGTTGTTTATGAAGCATGGTTTAGATGTAACTTATACCTAGTGTTTTACAGTATTTAGATTTTAAAAGTACAAATACCCATAAATAGAGTTTGTAATCACAAAATAGTATCTAAAAGTTAATAATCTAAAAGTAATCTAGTTATTCTGATTTGTAGTAGAACGATTTTATTTGTGTTCGTTAAAGTGCAAAAGGAAATTCTTTTGCAAACTGTATTCTAAATTGCTGTAACGTCGAGGTTTCTAATATAGCTGGCATGTTAAACACACAGACAGCGTGAAATACAAGAAAAAAGATAAAACTGCTGCAAAACCTTTCAAGGCACTTTTCCCTAGAAAAGTCTTCTACCGAAAATGAATGAATTAATGTCCACAAAGCTGTGTGAAACATTTCATTTTTTAACACTCCACAATAATTGCAACTGTAAATGTTCATTTTATAAGGTATTTCGTCCGCCTTCGTGGTGTAGTGGTCAGCATGCTCGACGCGTATTCGAGAGGCCCGTGGCTCAAGTCCCGACGAGGGCACTGATCATTTTTCATTTCTCCTGCTTCGAAAAAAACCTTATGTCTCTATAATTTGAAGTAGAAAAACTATGTACATTGATTCTGAAATTGCAAAAAGGTTAGGTGTGGAAAACCAAAGGCAAGCTTTGTTAGTTAATATTCTTCTAAACCATTTAATTACCCACCGTATGTAATATATTAAAAATAAAAACGCTTGTTTTTCTGTATCTACAATGCACCCAGCAGAGGTAGTAAATACTGCTTTAATACTGAGCATGAAATAGGACACTCTCTTTTAAAACTTTGGAAGTATTCTCAGATAACAGCCGACGCTATTACTAAATATATAAAGAAGTTCTTATCATTCCACTGAATCTTAAAGAGTTATCTTCTTTCTCAAAAGCCGCTGTCTTTGTTAATTCGGGTAAGCATAACAGTGTTCATCTTAAGCTGAAATAAGATAAAGCATAGTGAGATTAATTCGGGTAAGCATAACAATGTTTATCTTAAGCTAAAATATGAATTGAATAAACAACCCTTTCTTGATAACTATTTAGCTCACACAATTCATAATGCCTAAGATATGCGACGTCAGAGTTAAAAATAGACGTAGAGAATTTAGTATTAAAAGTGGTTTCTTACTTTAGCAGTTATGCCATGAGGCTGCAGCTCTGAAGGAGTTCTATAATTTTGTTGATAAGAAGTACTTTGAGTCGTGTTCCAGTAAGCTGGTTAAGTTTAATACCTGTTCTTGAGAGGCCTTTAAGGAATTGAGTACCAAAGAACCAATTGCTTCTAAAGTTTAGATGAAGATAAATGTACAAATATTGTGTGGGATATATTTGGAGAAGAGACTGGAGATTCAAACTTATTGTACGAAGCAGTAAGATGTAGTGTTCATTTCTTGCGTGTCGGGTTATGACTTATCTCGGTTGTCTGACAGTAACATCAGAACAAGTCCATGAAAATTTTTTTTGTGGCGAGGAATGCAGGATTGCGTCTATTGTTGAAATGAGCCTTGTTCACATTATAGGTGATAATACGACTTTGCTCAGTTCCATTCCGACTTTGCTCAGTTCCATTCCAACTTTGCAAGATAATCTCCTAGGGGTTGGTTCAAAGGGTCTTTCACTCCTCTTTTCCTACCACCAAGTCCTTAAACAGGTATTTAAGCCTTCTCCGACATTCGAATCTTGGCCCAACAATACGGCACCCAGCATTTCTATCCCCTGTTCTGATAAAAGCGGTAAAGCGGCAGCGCTCATTTGTAAGCCACATGACGAAAATCATTAGTGGCACCATTATGTTTATAAAATAAGACATTTCAGTTATTCTAATACATAAGTTCGTGAAACGCACAGGTCCACCAGCGGCCGAGCGGTAAAGACGCTGAACACTGGTAGTTCGGTCCGAGGTTCGAATCCCGCGAACGGGCTGGCTGCATGGGCGTTTTCGTGGTTTTCCCCATGTGTAACGTGTATACGAGCCAGTTTCCCTTAGAAAGTCCTCCACGAAGGCATCCCTCCCCTTAGGGCAGATAGCCCTAGTGTGCTTTGCCATAATTAAATACACCACCACACCACACCGTGAAATGCACAGACCTTGCATATTAAGCAATAGGTTAGAACAGTGTTCTCAACCAAGGGAAAATCCAAGGTGAATTTCATAGTTTTAAGAGATGAATGCGGTCAGCATTTCAGTTAGGTATTTATTAAGTATTTAGTTTTAGTTTATGAATATAAAAGCAACTTTTATTCTAGTTTTAGTGTTATCTCACAACCTTTCCTATACTTTTTTGTTGTTTAATTTATGAAGCACGTTAATGATCTAAATCTAAACAAATACATAAATGCGTTTTTCGAGTTTTGAAAAAGGGGGAGAGATGATCTTCTGGCAGTGGTGAAAGGGTTGTATGGTACCATACAGGTTAGAGGATAGCATTTTAACGTTTTTTTTTTTCAGCCAAAGGTATGAAAAACGTCTTCACATAAATGGCAGCAATGTGAAAAAGATATTTTACTGCTCCTGAGTAACATTAAACTATGCTCCTGAGTAACATTAAAAGGTAATATTTCGACCTCCTGAATATATTAAAAGAATTTGAGACATTTGTTTTAACAAGTAACCTTCTCTCATTTGATACCTGTGTATGTTCTGCTATTGCGAAGTTAATAATGAAAGATCTTAAGCACGGGGGAATTCTGTGAAAAGTATTGTTTTGTTAAGAAAACCGTGTCATCTGAGAGGCTAAAGCAAGCTATGTCAAACGAAGAAAAGTACAAACCTACCTTGTAGAGCCATTAGGTTAATTTGGAAGCAGGAGTCGTGAAAAATGAGCAATGCCCTCACCGGGACTCGAGCCACGGACCTCTCGAATACACGTCGAGCGTTCTGACCACTATACTGCGAAGGAATGCTAAGAAGGCGGTAGAAATACCTTATAACCTGATCTGAATCAGATGATGATGATGATCAACAACACTTTTATTATTTACCAATGCTTTTCTTTTTATAGTCAGTATTTGCTTGCATTTTTGCAACAACCGGTGCTAAAAGAAACGCATTTTCTTATTGTGGACTTGCATTGTGTAGGTCGCAAAATAAATTAATTCTTTAAATAATGAGACCGGAATGGAGGGAATGTTGTATCACATTATTACAGAAAAATGACTCATAATGAAGCCATGCATACTATGCGAACGATATTCTTTTCATGTAGAAGTAATATACGATTAGTGGTTTCAAGAGCAACAGAGATAAAATGCAGAAAAGAAACGATAAAAAATATAATAAATATTACAGAATCTATGTTTAACGAACAAAATCACAAAACGAATTTGAGAATTATAACTGCAGACTGTGAACTAACAGTTTTTAACAATAAAAAGTTTCCTTTGAAGTAAATTTATATAAGTAACTATAAGCAGTTACTAACATAAGTAAAGCTTAAACAATTAGATAACTTTAAAATATGAACCGCAAATTTAGTAAGATATTGAACATTTTAACAAGGTAACGAGATCTCCAGAAGTAAAGAAATACCCAACAAATTTGCTCATCTAGACAAACGTATATGAAAACTAAAATTAAGACAGAAAAGTACATTTTATGAACTTCAGATTATAGTTTAAGACCTCAAGAAAGATCTTGTAATTAAAAAACAAAAATAAAGCAAAATATTAAAAAAAACTGCCAAAAATGGAAAAATTATAGAATTATTTCTACTGTCTTTTTATGTTATTTCAGTAAATTAACGTGGTAATTTACTGAAATAACATAAAAAGTTGTAAATGTTAATTTCAGTAAATTAACATTTGGTGTTTCCTGCTCTTAAAACTAAATTATAAATGTTCACTAAAATTAAAACTCTACTCTAGAAAGAATTTCAGTTTTAAATTCTCTACCCGCGGCAAATGAGCTGGCTGCATGGGAGCTACCATGATTTTTCTGTCAAACGTAACGTCGATCCAAGCCATGCATGAAGAATGATGCATTCTTCCTTTGGCAAATATCTTTATAGACATTGTTACAATTTAAATGAAAAATGTCTAAAAGCTCATGTGTTTATTTCCATATTTCTGTTTGAACGTAAAATGCTATAAAAGTAGAATTATCAAAACATTAAACAAAATTAAGTGAAAAAAATATGTAAATAAGTCTACAATTTATATGTTACTACATAATTCTAACATAATCGTTATATTTTTATTTTATATTCGTATAGAGCAATTGGCAAGTACAGCTTTTATTCGAAATTTGATAATATGAGAAATAAACCTTATGCTTTGTGAATAGCCACAAAAATTTGCATTAAGGTGCACCACATAGTTGATTAATGGTGGTAGCTTAACATAATGATAACCTGACTAGATTACAAAACTCTTAATTAAATTATGTAAAAAAATTAATGTAAATTTCTAACTGCGAAGCAAAAATATGTAATTTTCAGTTTTTTAAAGTTACGCAACTTCAATACACCTATTATCTCCAGTACTGAATAACTAATCGCAACAGGTAAATATTATTATGCAATTCGTCCCCTTTCCGAATTCCCTACGGATAAAATTCCCTGTCGTCTTCACTTTCAAAGAATTCGAAAGGGAATAATCGACGAAGAATGAATGGCAGACTACATTACGCGGCTGGAAGAGTTGACATTGATGCTTCGGCATTCACGCGCTCAACCTATTAGTATTTTCTTCTGTCTTTACTTTAGTTGAGGCTTTTATTTTCAGGTAAGTGAATAATATACAATCATAATTTAAGATGTACTTTTTAGACTCCGTTGGACTTCTATAGCATGGAGCTATTATTACTTATTTTTATATGTAATTAAAATATGTTTAATTTGATTCGAAATGATTTTATTAAAATCATATCTTTGTTTAAATGTGATTCCGAATATAAAATGATGTTTTTGAATCTAAAGAATATTATACTATCTTATGAGAGGAGTCTTATATTTAAAAATGCACTGCGATGCTTTTTTTTTTTTTTTTTTTTTTTTTTAATTTTATTTTTTTAGTCCAAAAGGGCTATTAGTCTCGAAAAACGATTTTACATTGTTTCACTTTAATGCGTTATTTCACTTTTCATTCAAGTCCATTTGGAAGATACTATTTTCATATTATCTGTGCTTAACTGAAAATAACTATTAAAAACAATAGATGCAATTTATGTTATTTTTAAAATTTTTAATCTGATTGATTTAAATAAAAATGATTTAATTCATGATGTATCTGACTAAAAAAATTAAGTATTTTTATAGAACTATATAATTTTTTTTTCTCCTTGTAAATATGCAGAAGATATATAATGTTTCCCATGCTAGCCTAAATGCATATTCATCTTATGAAATGTTTTGCTGTTCCACCTGGACCATCTTTGCTGATAAATCATATTAAACTTTAAAAAAGCCCTTTACGGAAATCGCTAAAATCTATACCCTTTCAGACTTTTTTTTTTTTTTTTTTTTTTTTTTTTTTTTTTTTTTTTGTCCAGGTATCATATTTAGATCATTCAGTTATTTATTCTTCATTAAAATGCAGCATTATTTCGTATTTGACGCTGCTTTATACTCTGACTCAGATATTATTATATATGTTAGTTATTATATTTTAATTATGTATAATTCCTACAGCGATAGATTAATATCGTACAAGCACTTGTACATCACAACTTTTGCATCACAACAACAATCCTTCTAAAAAGAAGGATTTTCTGTTCAGTACCATTAAAACTCTTTATAACTTAGTGACGTTAAAAAAAATATATTTACCCAGTTTTACGAAATAATTGGCTTTAGTCTGCAACCTAACAGAAAACGTGTAATAGCTGATTATACATATAATACAACAATCTACAATAAGTTATTATTTGCATTCATTTATGCAGTAAAAATTTAAAAAAAGAGCTCGTATGCTACAAAGGAAGATGCTATATTTCAGAGGATTTTAAATTAAACTAAACTATACATTTAATCCTTATAATATGTGAATAAAAAATCTATCTAGATATTTATTACTCAGTTATGCTAACAGCAGTTAACGAATTGACGTCGAATTTTGCAACAGTTAACAGGTTCATTTACCATAAAGATAGAGCATCTCTAGTTTCAGTCCTGTCCAGAAAATAATGCAGGAACGATGCTGCTAGAAATATCCATGCATTTTGAATGATAACAACAAATGCTGCACATTCTTTATACGTAATGCAAAGAGAGGTTGATATGAAACATGAGTAACAGAAAAAAGATTAAAAAAAATTAATGTTATCTAGGTGACAAAATTTAAACCACACCTTTTAAAGAATTCTGTAATTTAATCGTTAGAGAAATTTATAGGAATAGCTACAAGTAATTTAGCAATTACTAGAAGCCAAAACGCGTCAGCGGCAAAATTTATTGAGAATTATAAGTAACATATTTGGATTTTATTTCTGAAACTTTACTTTCACTTGTGCTACTACAGCTGTGAGACAGTTCGAAAGCGATTATCTTTAAGACGTATATATTTCAGTTCTGTTTTTCAATGTAAAAAAATAAAAGCATAAGATAAAATTTTGAAAGTTAATATTAGAAATTTGTTTTGCATGAAATATGTGTTTAAAACATAAAATTTGTCAGTTATTTTTAACTTACAGTGGCCCACATTTGTTTTTCGATACTTGTATTTTAGAAATAACTTTACATAGATCTTGTACTAAATATTGTAATGCAGACTTCATATTTTTTCTTTATTTTAAGCCTCGTTTGTTGTAAAATAAATATATCAAAATATTTCCTGTATTAAAATAATTTGTTCAAAACGTCTTAATAATAATTCGGCATCTGCATTTGGAAAGTATAGCAATTGTTTAACAAAATATAATAATATTTCCGTATCTGCATTGAAGCTGGTAAGACGCTACAAATAGACGACCAATTCTGTTAAGAAATTTAATAATTCACCTCTTTAAAGATGGTAAAACTAAATATGTTTGATGTAATGAATTGATGGAAATTGCATGGAACTGTTGAAAATGCACTTAAGTTTGAACCACATTCCAAGCTAACACTTGGAACAATTGGAAATTTATTTTATAAAAAATCAAGCAAGAGCCAAAAATGAGTATTGTAAAACGTTCAGCAGACATAGAAGAACGGTTCGAAGTAAACGTTAACTTTGAAACTTTCAGAAGAGTCATTCAAAGCATATGAATAACAGTGGGCGATCAGCAAGAGAAAATTCTTCCTCAACAAGAAAATAAGGAAAATAAGCCTAACTTTGGCAAAATCTATAGTAAGCAATGTTGAGGGGATGTTTCGCTGCCTTTTGAGTAAGAAATTAGAGTTTATCGAAAATAATATTGTTTAGTATAAACATATAAATATTCATTAATGAAAACCTGAAAACATCTTCTATAAAGCTTGGAATGAAAAATATATTCAAGTTCTATCAGAATAACTATCTTAAAAATCCAGCCCTAAATATTCGCTTGTAATTATTACACAAAAGTCCTGAAATTACCAAAACTTCTAAGCACTTTCCGAACTTAAATCCTATGGAAAATTCAAGGAACGAATTTAAGAAAAGAATAAGAAAAACTTGATATTTCTTCGAAAGTAATTCGTACGTAAAAGCAATTCTTACATAGGAATTGAACAAATGAAATATCCTTACACACAAAAAAAATTAGTATTGAATACATGACAAAGTATATACTAAATGTCATTTTTACTGACAGGAAATCCAACTACATATTCAGTGCCCCGTTATTTTCACAATTTAATTAAATATAATTTTTTTAAAGCATCAGAATACTTATACGAGTACATTTTTCAAAATTTCTGAATAAATTATTTTTTTACCAAAAATGTTTTGAATAATTTCGTTCAAAACAAGCAGATTTTAAAATAGATGATGAATTGTTTATGTGGAAAAAAAACAGTCATTTTGCTGACATTTGCAAGTATAACTGAAAAACTCAAGTGTCCGAAAACCAATGTGAAAGTTGACACACGTTGAAATACTTTCCATAAAATTATCTGCTTTATTTTCAGAAAATTTTAGACTAAAATGCATGTCTAGAATTTGTGTTTAAGAAAATAAAACCTACACCTAACTTTTTGAAATTATTAAATTTTTGTATTTTATTAAATTTAAATTTTTGTATGTACTTTATTATAGCAATAATAGCTTAATTTAATTACTGCATTAAGTATGTTGGTCATTATTGTAATTATTTTTATTGCGTTTTACGGAGACAAAAATAGAACGAGAACATAAAGAATGGCTGTTTACATGCACATAAAATTTTAATAAATTTACTGGTCAAGAAAATTAATAAAATTCTCTCTTTAATATTGTATTTAATTTCAGCCTGCTAAAAGCAAACGTGTGGATTATAAATTTCTTACAAGAGTCCCCACTCTCCAGAAAAAACTGTATTCGTATCAACGACCTTAGGCAGATAGCCCTCGCATGCTTTGTCACAATTAAATAATTAAATAAACCAAACCATTCGTCTCAACGAACGTTAAAAATTCTAGGATACGAAAAATATAGCTCTCTTACTAAATATAATGCACAATTTACTATGCTGAGGGACAATATTTTCAATAATTTTTGGCGAACTGAGGGAATTAGATTTAACTGGAAACAAGTGGGATACTAAATTATGAAAAATTATTATAATGGGGAATAAGGAAATTATAATAAGGAATTAATTGAAATACGGGTGCGGGAAAGAGAGGAAGAGAAAGAGAAAATAAAAAGGAAGGCATTTCGCTTGTGATCAGAGATGCCTTTTTGTGTGCTGTTTTGTTGGGGGACCGGAGTCAGAAGTGTATGAATGTATGCGCGTGTGTATGCTTGTATGTGCATATATGTATATATGTATACACACACATGCATTCGGGATTACATATATACATGCATACATGAACACATGGGTGCATACATACATACATTTCTGAAACCGATCCTGATAACAGAACAGTACCCTTTTTTGATAAGCTAAGACGCTGTCTATTTAGAAGAATTACTTACTATGTTATGGTGTTATATCGAATTCAAAATTAATCATCCAATTTCAGGAAACCATAGTTTATTACAGAAGCTGTGAAATAAAATAACACCTCAACAAAATTTTAAATTTTAATATTTTTGATTTTAAAATTTTATGACCATTAAAAATTAACATTTAATTTCAGACTTCCTATAATAAAATAGAGTTTATTATAGGACTCGTGAAACAATGCATCTTTAAAAATTTTAATTTATTTAGAACAATCTAAATTAGTTATAACGAGTAGTAAATTTGAATAAATTTAATTAAACTTATAAGCTGCAACATGGATAAACTTATAAATTTCTTCAAGAAGTCATCCATCCCTTTAGACAAAGAGCCCACGCCTGTTTTGCCATGATCCATATAATCCAGTTCAATCTTCAAAAATAAAATCTGGCTTATTTGAAGCGCCAGAAAAAATAACAGTGGAACAATTAATCCCCCAATCTAGAATGCAATATTTTTTAAATCCGATTTTTTCACCTTTTCATTTTTAAAATTAATTAATATATTTTCTGAGAAAGTAAATAACCTTAAACTATTTTATGAAAAAACAATGACCTGTGAAATCCTTGTACTGGAGATAAATTTAATGTGTACATCAGAGCTGTGTAACAGCTCGTAAATGCAAATAAAAGACTTAAAAAATACATTTAGTATTTTCCATAATACCATAAGCAAACTC